TGCAAGTGACGTAAAACTTAGTAAAACTAAGTTGTCACAGAAAGCAGCTATGCATGGCCCCACTAGGGCACCTGCTTTTTGACACGACATGACCCCACAATACGGGGAGCGCTCGGCACGCTACAGTCAAGGCAAGGGGGCTCTCGTGGCCTATAGGTCGTTAAGGTATTCGCCTCTCATTCAAAGGTCCCGGGGTTGAATCCAAGTAGTGAAGGAAAATTTTTCTTCTCTTAAATTGTGTCCTTTTACGCCCTTAATTTCCTGCTGGGACGTTTTAGTATAGGTCTCCGGGTTGGCTCCAAAATGATCTTAATTAATAATTATTGTGTGGATGGGGTCTTGGGTCTTAACAATGCGTGTACGTTATCACAATTTTAAAAAATAATAATATAGATATATACATGTATATATAAGCACACTATAATTTAATTTTGGTAAGCGGTATCACACATAAAACAAAAGACATAAATCCAAGGAATAGTGAAGCTGGAACTAAATGAAATTCTACACTCTGGAGATCTACTTTCTTTGTCTGAATTATCCTTGAACTGCATGTATTCTGCCAGATTTTCACTTTCAGACTCTGGGAGAAGTGCCGGACTAGAAAATCAACCCTTTTTTTTCCTGGCGACTTTCGGCTGTGAGGAGCTAGACTAAAATTATGTTCTTAGGTTCGTTCTAACTACACCCCCCCCCCCTTCTCTCTCTCTCTCTCTCTCTCTCTCTCTCTCTCTCTCTCTCTCTCTCTTCGTCCGTTTCTTCTGTGTCTATTTGCTAGCCTCACAGTATCACACACGAATGTCCGAGTTACAATTTAACTTCAAAAATTTTCCGATCAAGCAACAACAAAGTGACTATTTAGATTAGGACAATATCCTCGTTTTCGGTGTGCTGTCCCCGATTGCCGTGTTTATGTCTTCGTTACTGCTAGGCCTTCTACACAGTACACAGGGGCAAATATAGGCCTACTGCGTTAGAATTATGCATTTTATGTAAAAGGGTGCACTATTCGTGTTAACCAGTTTCAATCGTTATCATCTGTGACCGTGAATCAGTATCTCTGAATCACAATTAGCCTAAATTATCGACTGCTTGACTGTGAGTCTCTGAGTGAGTGCTTGCTTTCCTCAGAGTTGTGCCACCCACGCTTTCTGGGAAGAAAACACATCGGCTTCAAGGACCACACAATCGGCAGAACCATTCAAAGAGATTGAATATGAAGGGTGGGACACCCTCGGGTGTTTCATTGCCAATATTATATTCAGAAAGGTAAGAAAGAAATCAAGAAAGAAGGTAAAACAGAATAGAAAAAGAAAGGATGAGGAATGTTCTGGCACCCATCATATGTTTCACAGTCCAAACTGGCATCTTTTGACGTCAAATAAGGTCAAGGCAAAAATTGTTCTACATTACTGGTCAAGGCCAAGGTGACCACAAGATGGCGGAGGCTGCTTAGCTGTAGCCGAGCCTTTGAGCAATTGACATGTATTCATGAATTTGAGCTGTGAGTTTCTCTTTTGATCAATGGATAAAAGATATTTTTAAAATATTTGTCCATTTCTCAGCGTTAACATTGTCTTCAGTGTTAGATCTAAGAGGGGTTCCGGAGCAGCAAAACTCTACGGATTACGAAAGTACACAAAGCCAAAGCCAAAGCATCGCCAACCGACTCAATCGTGCTTTTTATCACTCACACACTGTCCGAACAAATATTCTTTTGTTATTGTCAAATCCATATCACGGGAGTATACATGATAGATTTTAATTCTAACTAAATTATTTCATATTGATCAGGGCAGTAAAAAGAAACTCGGTTGTGAGCTACACTGGCGATTGGAAAGGAAAGGATTCAGGTCAGCTGTTTCTGTTTGAAATTTGAATTTGAAGAGTTAGTAAGAAGAAGTGGATGTGCAGCCTCCAATTAATTAACTGCTTAAATATCATAATTGATTCAAATAAATGTTATTAAGGTATTTGTTAAATTACATTGTTATCACTTTTCTGATTAGATCTAGATATTAGATTCTAGACTAGATTAGATCCAGAATCTAGATCTAGATGTAACTTTGACTTTGGTAAAAGTACACTAAAAGTTGATATCGATTGTCTGCTGTTTGCATACACATACATACATCGAAGCCTACATACATAGCGGCTTGGCCAGCTCTAGACTTGTATTCGGACTCATCCGTAGTAGGCTACAAGTTGACTGTCAGGAATAAATTGTCAAAATCACAAAATCAAGAGACACATGATAATATGCCCAGCCTATTTATTTTGAAAGTGGCTATTCTCACCCGCCCGGAAGTTCTCGCAAGATCAACTCCTCCCCTCTTCTCTCTCTCTCCGTCTCTTTCTGAATACTGTCTATCGGTGTGGACGATCAAATTGACCAAAACAAAGTTAAAAAATGATGTTAAAACACAAAAGTAAATAAATTTGGTTGTCTACAAAGATGCTACGGCTATTTAACTTTTCGAATTGAGCCGAACTACGCGGGTCGCCATTTTGTTTTGCCCGGAAATTCTCGCGCTACTCCTCTCTCTCTTTCCCTCTCTCTCTCCACTGCCCACAGACAAAATTGTACGCTTTTAGTAGGCTACAATTGTAATGGAACGTTTGTTCACGGCACAGAATTCTACAATTTTTCTGTTATAAAATCACAGTGTAGAATTCTGTGGTTTAGGGTGAACACATAATTTGGTGAACGCGCACCGGGTGAGAATAGCCACAAGACTCGCCTGCACTATTCTCACTCCGGGTGAGAATAGAGGTGGCCATTTATTTTACTTTCACACCCTTCATAATTCTTTTTTAAAATTTTTACTACTTTAGGCCACCTCTATTCTCACCCCGGGTAAGAATAGCGCAGGCGAGTCTTTGGCTATTCTCACCCGGTGTGCGTTCACCGTTATACTCTTGATCTAGATCTAGGCCAACCAATTTTGCGTTCACCCTGAACCACAGAATTCTACACTGTGATTATAACAGAAAAATTGTAGAATTCTGTGCCGTGAGCTTCTTGTACTACTGTTCTAGCCTAAAAGCGTAAAATTTTGTCTGTGGGCAGTGGAGAGAGAGAGAAAGAGAGGAGTAGCGCAAGAACTTCCGGACAAAAAAAAATGGCGACCCGCGTAGTTCGGCTCGATTCGAAAAGTTAAATAGCCATAGTAGCATCTTTGTAGACCAAATTAATTTAAAACTTTTGTGTTTTAACATCATTTTTTAGCTTTATTTTTGTCAATTTGATCGCCCACACCGATTGACAGTAATCAGAAAGAGACAGAGAGAGAGAAGAGGGGAGGAGTAGATCTTGCGAGAATTTTCGGGCGAAACAAAATGGCGACCCGCGTAGTTCGGCTCGATTTGAAAAGTGAAATGGCCATAGTATAGCATCTTTGTAGACGATCAAATTAGCTTACTTTTGTGCTATAACGTAATTTTTTCTTTGCTTTTATCCATTTGATCATCCACACCGATAGAAAGTATTCCAAAATTATAAAAAAACAGGTCTTGTTTCACACCGGGTGAGAATAGCCAATGGTGGCAAGTCTCACCTGGGGTGAGAGGTCGATCGTATTTTTATTTTCACCATGGGTGAGGATAGCCACTTCCTTATTTTTATTTAATTTTTTTACACAAATTTTGGCTTTATATTCCACCGCAAATTATTAGTTTAAATGAGTTGTATGATGTTTTTATACTAACAAATCTCTTTTAATACAACAGGCCCAATTGCGTAGTTTAATATTTCTTTTGTTTTTTAAAAACTAAATGGGGGGGGGGGGGGGGGCTCAGGGGGCATGTACCCCTGACTTTAAAAAATGTCTCGGAGGGTTCCTCCTGTACTGGATTTCACAATAATTTCAGTGTTCGTTATATAAAGGAAAACATGAGGTTTTGTGAAGATTAATTCAGGCACTGAGCACATAATGTGTAAAAAGAGAAGTAACAAGTTGTGCCTGAAATGCCTGCATATTATGAGCTGTGTAAAACAAAAAGACCAATTCGTTCAAATGCATACTTGTGTCATCTCAATTGTTTACCAAAACGTTGTGTTGCTGTGTAGAGCCTAGCACACGGCAACTTTTGATTCCATAGACGAGCGCTCAATTCACTACGTAGATCTACGTCAATACTAGCTTATATAACAATGATCAGTTGCTGATGGGGAAAAAAGGCTTTGACGCATTTGTATGTGCGACATTCAACGCCCGGACCGCTGGTGCTCCCCCCCGATACAGTCACACATGTGCAGGCCACCCATCCGACCCCGACACACGCCAGAGTATACACGTGCGTGTGCCAACAAAAAGGGTCGCTGATTGGTCGCATTCAATCGGCTAAGTGAACAATAGTTCACGATGCAGGTGCAGTAGATGGTTTCCGGGAATAGATAACGTTCATTCTGTGAGAAAAATGGGGAAGCTACGTCTGTGGGGGCTGTTCCCCCTGGAAGCGACCTCGTTGAATCCGAGCTTGCTGATTTAAGTGCTCGTTGAATCCGGGTTATTTTTATTGATTTAAAACTAGAAAAAAAACAGGGAATCTATCTCCTCTCGTTAAATCCGAGTTCCACTGTATCGAGGATTTACAGTATTACTCTTTCTCTAGGATGCACTATACCCGTCAGTCCTTTTCTCACTAATTTTACTTTTTTTTACATCGAGCAACACCCCCCTTCAGTCGCTAATATCTTGGTTTCTGTATAAAAGATAAATGGATTTTTTTGGGGGGGTCAAAGGCTTTAAAATGATACCAACTGATAACTCCATAAATAGGCATGATGTAAACTGACGAGCGCCTGATTCCACCGCGCTTTGACAGGTTTCCTTACTTTCTTTAAACTTGAACTCAGACATCTCGCTGTTTTTCTTTTTGGGAGGAGGGGGGGGGGGGGTTATCATTATAATACTTTGTGGTCATGAGTCATGTTTTTCACAGATATATATTTTTTGTTTTTAATCTCCAGAACTTTACAAACATGAGGACAAGCTAAGATGGGCTGCACATACTCTGGCCAAAGCAGCAGAAACGAGGGCGCGGTGCGTTCTTTTCGAGTGCACAATGTTGACGATCAAGGGGTTAAACTGAGCAGAGGCAATATTGAGATCAGAGACAATGACTTGCTGCTCTACCAGAAAGGGAAGGAACCCATCCGGTGAGTGCTCGTTTCTAGCTCAGAGTATGAGACGTTACGACAAGATGCTGATTGTGGTGTATTTTATAATCATGTTAAGTTTGCTGATGATGTAAGAGACAGTAGTTCGTTAAATTTTAAAGTAGCAATATATTATTAAATAATATGTATGGCATCGTGTTGAAATTGCGTGCTCATCAAAATATTGAAATGGAAGAAGGAAACAGATTTTTCTACCTGTTGGGCAACTTTTATCTTTTTTTTGTTTTGTTTTTTAGCTCTCAATACCTTTCACGTCCATGTAAAAACTCATTTATTTGTAGATTTTATGGAATAACATTGGTCAAAAGCATAAAAAATGTAAATTTACTGTGTCCGAGGACGCTCAGGCTTTGGAATTCACCAAATTTTGGCCACCATTTTCTTGTTGATTATACCTAAAACATAAGACTACCTCAACCTGTTTTAATCGCAAATATTTCGACTTCTATTCAACATAAATGGATATTTTGTACTAAAATCAACTATAATAATAATAATAGATAGCATTTGTATAGCGTATATCCCCGCTCAACAGCAGGCTCTATGCGCTTTACACTATATTATTACCCCAGCAGACCATAGAACACTCTGAAACATTCTCAGCTTCCCGGGAAGCATACAGTGCAAGCAGCCGATTAAGCGCTCAAACACTAACAAACTGACAAGATCGTTCGCTGTCTATAGCTGGGTACCCATTCCCACCTGGGTGAAGTGAGGAAAATTTGTGTAAAGTGCCTTTCCCAAGGACACAACGTCGGGCCCCTGACGGGATTCGAACCCACGGCCTTACATTTGCGAGTCCGAGAGCCTAACCACTAGGCCACCGACGCCACATTTAACTAAGCAAATGAACAAGCTTTTAGATGATGCCAATGACTCGATAGCTAGAGAATCCTAGAAAACTGAAAAATTACACGTTCTATGCCTTTCAGCAATGTTTTTCAGTAAAATTCCCATTTGAACGTTTTTATATGGACATAAAAGGTGTTCAACCAAAAATAATTAATTTTTTTAAAATCTCAAACTGACGGAAAAATCCCTATTTCTTCTTTCGAATTCATTTTTGTTGCGAGCGCCTGATTTCACCACGATGCCTCACATATGCAGTTTTGCTTCGGCAATCATATAAATGTTGTTTGTTATAGTGTGATGGAAGCTGCTGATTTTCTTCATGTATCTCAAGTCCGGTAAGTTAGGTGAATGTAAAGTGTTGGGTTTCATGCCTTCCCGTCTGTACTTTCAGGTGGCCCCTGCATTGTCTGCGGCGCTATGGCTTTGATGCCGAGCTCTTCTCTTTTGAGAGCGGCCGCCGGTCAGCGACCGGGGCCGGGATCTACGCCTTCAAGTGCGCGCACGCGGAGGCGCTGTTCAACCTGGTGCAGGAGAGCATCCAGCGGGCCGGGGAGGAGGCGCAGCGCGGTCAGCAGCCTCAGCCACAGCCGCATGTCAACCACACGGTGGCTGCCCCGCCAGGAAATCAGCCACTGATGGACTGGTGAGGAAACTTGTGTTGTGGCGCTTCTCTGTTGAGTTCTTGGGGGTGTTTGACTGTATCGGTTCTTCGGCACACAGTGCGACTGATTTGTGTTGTAATGTCTTGCTTGTAACTTATTTCCTCTAAGAATGTAGGGTTCTTTTCTCGTCATGCAGCCTTATGATGGATACGATTTTTTAATGTATTGTTATTTATTTATACCGGCCACAGTGTTTTTGTTGGGGTAATAAAGTTTTTCCTCTTTTAAAGGGGGGGGGGGGGCATCCAGTTATGTTATTCCATCTGCGTATGCTCTGGGATCAGGAATGAGCACAAAAATTATGTGGCTAACCTTTGGCCATGCCTTGTACGCATTGGGGTCTGAAAAAAGCTTTTTGTCATGAGAGACAAGCATTTTACCTTTGTTCATATGATAATAGTGGCTCTAGAAAGAAAGTTAATTTAATAGAAACACTGGAGATCAGCAAGCTTAGCGGTTGCACCTTTTGTACTGCCGGTTTTATGTCTGTGATTTCCCATTTTGATCGAGACTGATCATGCTTTTCTGTTTCGTAGACGTCCATTTTCATTTCCTTTTCTTTTTTTTGTTTCCCTTCACACAGGGGTGTGCCTGTCCCAGGAGGTCCTCCCCATCACCACGAGTCGTTCAGCCATTTTGTGCCGCCCCCTGGTGCGGACGACAGCCCGGACATGCAGCACGCGGGCCGTGAGGGCAGCTCTCACCTCTACGTCAACGGCGTGGTCAACAGAGACAACCCACAGCACGAGTATCTCAACGCGGGGCCGCAGGTGGGAGCCATCGGGGCCTTCCAGATTGACGAGACGGCGGCGCTGATCGAGTTTCTTCATCATCCTCCGGGATTCGGAGGGGGGAATGGCCGCTCGCAGGTACGTCGACCGTATGGCTTCTCTAGGTCTAGGTAGTGCTGTCCTTCTTTAACTTAACCTAAAGGATCCAAAGACCACGTTTCAAATGCTGAAGTACGAAAGAGAATCACCAACGCAGTGGGGCAATATGAAGATCTACTGACCACAGTGAAGACACGAAAATTAAAATGGTATGGGCATGTCACAAGATCCACAGGACTTGCCAAAACAATCCTGCAAGGAACCGTACAAGGAAAGAGAAAGAGAGGAAGGCAAAGAAGGAGATGGGAGGACAACATTACAGAGTGGACAGGAAAGACGATGGGTGACAATCTGAAGAAAGCAGAGGACAAAAATAGATGACGAGAGCTGGTTTTCAAATTCAGTGGTGCCCCCACGGTTGCCCCTAACCACGGGATAGAAGAAGAAGAAGGGATGGCAGTTAAGCAACACTGTCCATCTGTTCTTTATGCCTTGATTATTTGTTTGATTACTTGATCCTGGGCCGGGAACAACATCCTAGCACTCTGGTGTGGTTTGCTTCTTGTTTCCTATCAAACATCTATCGTCCTTATCTCCCCTTCTTCTTTTTTATGTTTATTACTCTCTTCTAACACCTCTAATCTTCTGGCGCTCATGTAACCTTATGCAGTTGCGAGCGCCGTAAAACCTCTACTAAAACTTAAAACTTTTGGTGAGATATTGAACTTATAGTTTAGTGAAGTATCAAACATCGTCAGATTTATCTTTAAAACAAATTATGGAGCTTTACTTTCATTCAGGAAATGAGAATTGGTTAGTGTTGTTTCATTTAGTGACTTCAGAAGTAACTTGAATTTTGGGGGGGGTAAAAAATGAGGCATATTTTTGTGATACTTTTCAACCTGAAAAAAATGTGCTTCAGGCTAACAGTCCTCCTTTTCTTAGCAGTGAAATGAAGGGTTAAGCTGCTACGTAAAAAAAAACAATAATTGGATGTGCTAAGAGTAAGATAGCTTGTGGTTTATCCTCTTTGCATTGAACCTGTACTTTCATAGTCCTGGCCACTGGTAAAGCTGTCTGCTGACTTATTTCTATCTTTTGAAAAATATAATTGCTACTATTATTATTATCATCATTATTCTTATTCTTCTTAGTATTGTTATTATTGATATTGTTGTTATTATTATTGTTATTAATATTAATATTCTTGGTAGTTGTTGTTATTATTGATATTTTTATTGTTGTCGTTCCTCTTCTTCCTCTTCGTATATTGTTATTATTCAGACGTTGTTATCATTCTTACTACTGTAATGTTTCTCTCTCTATGCGCCATCTCTCCGTCCAGGTGAACTATGCGGAGCTGTACATGCCCGAGGCCCCGGCCAGTGTGGAGAACCTGGTGGAGGAGGCGAGTGGCGGCGGCCCGGG